GTGTTAAAATGGGAAACAGTACTGTTCATGGAGGAAATATGCCTCAAAGTTAATCATTGAGTAATTGTGTTTGCCTCATTTGTTGGCAAAACAAGAAGCTGAAAGGATCAGTCCCAGTTATGTGTGAATGGGTCTTTAGTCATTAAACAACTCAGATATGCTTCAATGCAACCTGCTAAATAATTTATTGTTATTGATTTCAAAAAGCTTATTCAATTTTCTTTCAAAGAAGTGATCAGCTTAGAAGGGGTAGCCAGGTTTGTCGGAATACAGAAAACATGTTATATTGCATGAAAGGCAAAACACATTGTTGAGGAATATGTTTGAGACACAGTGAGATACACTTTTTACTGCAATAGAGTGGATCATTTTGCAATTTAAACAGCTTTAATAGAATGAGGTAAGATTTTTGCAGATGATTATTACATGATAATGATTTAACTTTATTGTGAACTTTACAAAATTCTGGATTGTTGATAATTGTGCTCAGCACAGTTCTCTCAAAGCAATCTTGAGTGGAGCACACCAACAGATTTAATTAAATTACTTATATCTTATGCAGTCTTTTTTACACTTATTTATGTTTTGAAAAGGGTGTTTTAATTGTGAAACTGTGGCAAATGATAAATGCCTTTGAAATATCGTGTTGTTAACTGTCTAAACAAAATAGTTGTGTCGTCCATTGGTAGTTTTAAGAGGCAGATTTCAAATGAGATGATTTTGTTGACTTTATCTTTTAAATGAGGCCCGTCTGTCAAAAATGTCAGAAGTGTCACTGAATATATCCTCATATTACTATATACAGCAGGTAACACAAGTGTTCATGACAAAAAAGGTCATGATATGAAATTTGTGGGCGTAGCAGCCATTTTCATTGTTTGATTTTTGTATTAACCAGTTTACATTTTATGATTAAATGCATCAAATATTGCTTTGGCATTGAATTTTGATGTACATATTATTTCATAACAGGTGAACAATCTTTTTCACTGAAACTCCGATATTGAAGCACCTATGGGATTAAAGTGAAGACTACATTCACTCACTTTTGAAACAGAACGAAGTGCATTTTTCCCACTTGTTGTAATGAAGGTAGTTGTGTTCCACTCCCTTTAAGGTTATTAAATTAGCAAAATTTGAATGGCAGAAATATTTATTTTCAACTTCTCCTGCATTGCTGTTTAATGGCCTATTAGAATGGAACAAGTCGAGCCATTAAGGTGTACACAACTTGGGGGCAGTCCTCAGTTAGGTAAGCTTTGATATGGGCCTCCCAGCTCTAATATTGCCACTTATTCTGTTTACTTGCAGCGGCCTCAGTCATTCAACCAACAAATTATCGTACAGAAAGGAATATTGTAGAATATGATCTTGACATTATATCCCATGTATTTTGGCAATTACCCTTAGGATATTGGAGAGTGAAGTGTTTAACTTATACATTGATGGATGTGTGAATTGCATGCTGAAAATGACTTTACTTTTTCCCCCCGAGAACTATTATTTATGGGTTAGCTTGTGTGCCTGTTCACATTTCTCATCTGTTTTTTTTTTTTTTTTTTCATCAGTTTCATAAAAAAAAGTTCTTAAAATAGAGCATTTTATGCTACTATTGAGATAGAAATGATTGATTCAAACTAAACCCCAAATATAAGTGCTGTAGATTAGGTCATCGTGAAGGGGTTCTGATGCCCTGCTATGGTATTTTGTTCCCAATAGTGAATAACCATTTATCTCATTTGGAAATTAACTGAATGAAAGCGACCAAATATTTATAATTTTGAAGCTTTAGTGAGCCAAATTCCGCTTGGGCATTGTACTCTATGTTTTTGTTGGGTTTTTTGTTTGTCACGTCGCCCTGACAATTTTATTTCCACAGTATATTCTTACCTGCGTATTACGTCAATATGTACACAACCTTTATTATGTTATCCTTTATCTATTGTAATGGATTGCAGGTCGGAAATGTGACTTTGTTTGAAAGGAAGATTAGCATTGTGATTTTGTTTTTTGAAAGGATACGGCAAATACTCGACACTTGACGTGCTCTGTTCTTGAAAAAATAAGATCTTGTTACAGCATTTGCTTTGTACAAACAGACAAAAAGACGGATCTTTAATGCGATATGAAAATAATTTCTTATCCAGGCTGCTTGTGGTGTTAAGTTACCGCTGTAGAAGTAATCGTGTCAGCAATCTTGTATTCATAGCACAAAAGCCTGAGCAAAAAGTTGGCATTGGATATTAAAAATCATATTCGCCCGATTAAATCTGCATGGGGATTGTTTGACTAATGGTTCGGAAAAATGAACCGACGGCCCGCTAAGAACCATCTAAATGGACGCAATAACAAAACTGACTGGTAAGGGTTAAAAGAAGGTTTTGCGTCTGGGAAACCAGAGTATAGTATTTAGCCTAGACAGAAGGGGGAAAGGACCTCACTGTGCACTTTTTTTAATTTTCCAAAAGAAATTCTCCAAAAGATGGCGGGAATTCGAGCCCACCATCACAAAGGCTGTTTTCCTCGATCAGAGGCCGACGGTTTTGGAAATGCAGCACTGTTATTAAGGTAGGATGAGATCGATATTGGTTGTGTGAGATTAGTTACTCTGACTATTTGTCGTGGATAGGATTAGCCCAGGTTACGGCAGGTGGATGCTGACATTCCTAGTCCTATGAATTCGTAGCCATTGGGAGTTGAGCACTTTCTGGTATGGTGCATGGAAATGAAACAATGATGTGAGTAAGCTGACAATTGAGAGGGAATAGTGTCTGGAGATGAAATTTTAAACTAATTTTTTGTAGTGATGACACTGCCAAAGGTATAATTTTTAATGCCGTAATAGATTAAGTTTTTTTTACATTTGCCTCCAAGTGCTTGAATTTGGACGATTTCGTGTAGGTGTGCATTATATATTGAAATACTACCTCAAGCAATGATTATCCTCAAGCTGATTATCAGTTTCCAATACCAATCAACTCGTTGCAATAAGCAACTTAATTGAAGCGCCACGCTGTGACACGTTCCAACAAAAAGACAGGCTGTATTTTGGCACCGTCCAATCTCCGTGCCAAGTTGACATATTGCCCCTTTTCCCAGGTGCTAGCAACAGAGGAGTATTGATTTTGCATACTAATGTAACTCCATCAGTTGACAAAAAGTGAATGGAACCGAGTGGTCTGTGGTCTGAAAGGGAGTCATTTCAGATGTCAACGCAATTTTCTACTTCATTTAATGGGATAGGAATAGCAGATGATAGAGGGCGTGAGATCTCGTAATAGTAGGGTTTTTTTTTTATTCTGGAGTAAAGATCAGGACAACAACGTTTCAGAAATTGCTGTGGGCTGTGCGCGGAAGATTTATGCTAATATGGAGTCGCTGTTAAGTAACAAATTAAGTTCTTGTGATATCAGATTGAACAAGATTGCAACCTAAATTATTGCTGATCCTTGAATATCCTCTGTTAATTTATCATTACAAATCAATTTGAAGTCGGTGTGGGAATACAGTGTGACGCTACAAAAGCGTTTTGAATAGGAATAACAACTACGTTTCTATGCGAAATTCCCTGCAGGATTCAAGAAAGTCGTGAGTGGGATTTTAAAATACCCGTGGGCTTAAACCCCGAACATTGGAGCTCGTAGTCGTATTCAGGGGCGGATCCAGAAATATTTTCTGACAGTCTTCCAAATTATCTTTGTTGATCCATCCACCATTTTTGACCGTCTTCCAACAGAAAAAATTAGATACCCGTCAATGTAAACTTGAAAATCTGACCGTCTTCTGGAAGACCCAGAAGACCGCCTAAATCCGCCCCTGGTATTAGTTTGAATCATTTACATATTATAGATGTCTGAAAGATGTCCAGGCTGACTTGGTTCTTGACTGGAAAGCTTTAAGGATGGTGAAAATGCAGAGTGAAGATAACGAAACGCCCAATTTTGATGATTTAATTTTGATAGGCAGGGGACCGAACCATGATGCAGGGTATGTGTGTTGTAACGTGTACGTAAGGTTTATTGTTATTATGCATAATTATATATTGTATCGTATATTGTTCATATCTACTATCATGCCAGATTAAGACCATATTTGATTTGACTTTACTTATCGCTTTGTTGATAGTTGACTTCTTAGTCTGTATGAAAAAGCCGGTGAAAACGTTGCCAGAATTCGTAAAAGAGAAGCGTTTTGCGCCAAATGCTGCCGCCTTTATTGTAAGGTAATATTTTAAGCGGATTTTGTCGGAAGCATATAACCACGCCTATTTTAGAACTAAAAAGGTTATATCATACTAATGTTATATTTTATTTGGTGGATAAAAAGTCTGGTGTTTATCATTGGGTCCACTGCTGGTGCGAAATGTAATTAACCAAGGGTTTATATTTTCTACATATTTGAATGACGTAATGTCAAACACGCAATTATGATGTGAAATGATTTTAACCCTGGTCGGAAAGGTATTCTCCGAAAAAGGGCGCATTAAAAGAGCCTTTTTTACGCGTCGATTTTGATTTCCAGTCGGAATTATGTGCCATAATATTTTGTTTAAATAGGTGTCTTTTCGTCACAAGGGGGGTATTGACATTAAATTAGACACTGGTGGAATTGATCCTTAGTTTTATTGATCTAACATGTTCAGGTAAAAAAGAAAGTTGAGAGGAGAGCTATTTCTTAGTGCATTTTGTAAATAAACTCTTTTTTATCTTTTTTTTTTCATTCACTGTTATATATTACCGGCGACGTTATGATATTTATTTTGGACACATACAGACTTGCTTGTGTGCCAAGTTAACCTTCATCTCTCCGATTAGATACCAAATGTGTTTTATTATTTTGGTATCACCTTACCTCTGTTTGAACTGTATGAGTGAAAGAATTTCGAAGCTTTAGAATATGACTCAAGGGTGTTGGTAAGGTATTGGTAATAATGTCGTACATTCATCTTTTATCGCACGTTTATGACAAGAGTTAATTGAAAATTGTGTTTTATTTTACAGAATGATGGAAAAGGCAGGGCTGGCTGGTTGGTCTAGCGAGAAAATGCAGCAATGGTTTGCGGACGTTCGTCAGACCCCCCGCTACCAAGCCGAGTACTTGGGCCGCCTAAGTAAACTGCGGGAGGAACTTATCAACCAAGAACAGGAAAATCTCTCCCACGCGATGGAGAGACTGAGAGTGAATTCTCTAGGAAGAGAGCACCCGAAACATCGGGCAAAAATTAAGAAACCGCCGGACGAATTTCTTGACACTTTTCCCTATCGGCAACGCCAGATTCTTTTGGAAAAGTTGGAGAGGAATAGACGTCGGGTGGGCCCTGTGCGTCAAAGAAGCCCACCAAAGTTGGATCCTTTAGAAGGAAAACAGCTTGTAGAACCATTTCACAGACCAGAGAGAAATACGAACAGTGCTCCGGAACTGAGTAATAAATCTAAATCAGACGGCGATCTACATACACGACTGTTCTCGAAATCTGTAGACGAGGCAAAACTTGTAAATTTGCAAAAACTTTTGAAACCGTCGCAAAGTATACCTAATTTAGAAAGACGAATTATACCCTCTCGACACCAAACGAATAAACAATCACCGGCACACAAAGATAAAATGGATTTAACTGTCCACCCAGAACCTCCACATGGACCTATCTATAAGAAAGATGCTCAAACCGGACTTTTTAAGCGCGTCGGGGCGAGAGCGGTTTCTCGCCAACCGAAAGCACATTTGGAGCTCGCTCCAACAGCTCATAGCTACGACCGAGTCACCGATGTCATCGATGCGGTGCGCCAAGCCCAAGAGGAGTACCACGTCAGAGGGCAATTTTACGTCCCCTCCACCACGCCTGAATCCGACTTTCAGCCAACGGAGGACCCCTATCGAGACTGCGTGGATTCGGATTGGACAGCGTTTTCTTCCAGCGGCGGTTCGCATAGACTGGTAAAATACCCAAATGAAGAAGAAACCTCAAGAGGGGTGTCAAGAAAGGGGAACAAAAGATCAGAAACGGAACTCAACAGAGACAGAACACTAGAGGCAAAAATGAAAGCGATGTCACGGTCGCACGAAATCGTAGCCAGTTACACCGAGTTTCCGCGTATTCCCCCAGAAAAGAAAAGCTTGATCGTGGAGATGCCGAACATTGTTTTCCAACCGGCGACACCGGACCTGTACTCCGTGTACAATGATCTTCCACAGTCCAGCCAATCTCTAAAGAAGGCCTACCGCCAGCAACAGCTTCGCGAGAGAGAAGTTAGTAACCTTTTAGAAGACGTTCAGGAGCTGAATCAAATAACCGAGGAACTGCAGACCAAGGTGCTAGAAAGGCAGGCGAGCAAACTTGAATAATAATAATAATGGTCTGCACCACAATAAAGGCGATTAGTTATTCCATTTACTTAACCAGTCTTATTGTGAATTGATTATTTTTCCGATGTAAGCCGTCCAGTTTTATTGATTATCAATAGGGTCCATTCCCATGAGTAAATATCAGGTCGTTCTCCGTTGCTCAATCGTTACAGGTTAGACTTACCGATAAATGAGAATGTGTTTCTTCGAAAGTTCTTCTGTCACGAATCTGTTGATGAATGTCAAATTCTGAACTTCTGTCGATTACAGACGTCGAGGTCGTGGCTTATGTTAGGAATTGGCGTCGGTTATTTGTTTTTGATTGGAAATTTTAGCAGAAAGAAATCGTGTTAATTTGATTGATATTTGTTTAAGCGTATGTGTTTATGAGCTCAGTTTTAGGTAAAATGTTCAAAATGGTGCTAAAGTAACTTCAAGTTGTATACATGTGATACACCTATATTTTAATTGCCCTTTCTTTTATGCGCTACGTGAAATGAGAGGTTTATGTAAATGTTGTTTCCAGTGCCAATAAATACTGAAAATTTTATCTTTTTCTTTGTGCCACTTGAAAAGTAATATATAATATTATAAAATAGTATATATGTTGCAACAGAACAGCAGTCTTAATGAGAAAATTGAATCGCACCTTTCATCTTTGATGAGGTTCTTGAAACAAAAACAGATCATCGTCAGTGGTAAGAGTATTTATTCCTTATTTCAACAAAATAATTTACTTATAGGAAACATAAAGGACATGATAAATATTCCACTGAACTACGATGTTTGTATGTACATGTTGCTTGAATTCTAACTCTCAACTGAAGAAGCTTAAAAGTATACTGCCTACATACTGCACATAACAGACAATTAATATTGAAGTCGCATTTTATAAAAGGCATTGAAAATGAATGAGGTTCATGTATCGTGATAGGGAGAAGAGAAGAAACTAGATAAATCAGCAAACTGTCCTTGACTAATAGCCTTATCGTTTATCACACTAATTTTAAATGTAAACGTGACGTAAACAATTATCCCATTTAACAACATTTAGGAACACCGAAATTTTTGTACAAAATCTTACAATTCCTGGAAATTTTATTCCTTACCATATATATATATTTTACCAGAGTATTTTGTGATCATTTTTATTATGACTATAAAATTACCATTTCAGTGCTTCAGCAACAACATCGTTCCAGATAAACATTAAAAACACTGGAGTCAAAATTGTCCGCGACGCCCGTTCGCCGAAAAAAAAAATAGCCTGAGCTAAAATGTGTTGGTTGATCCATCTCAACTAACACAATGTCTTCCTTGCTGAATTCTGCTTGCTGCAACTCGTCCGTGTTGTGCTTTTTAATTAAATTCAGGATGAAACATCTCTTTATTCGTTTTAGTTTGAAGGATGGAGCTCCACTTCGTCTAGTCTCTGTGGTGAAAACATGCCAGATCCGCTTCTCATTTTAAAGACCAACACAACCACGGCTAGAGTTAAAAAGATCCCGAGCACGAACAATCCGATGGCAAGACCCGTGGCTTGACCTGGGAGAATAAAAAAACAGCATGAAACCTTAGAGTGTATTTTATGGAAAAATAGACATTAGTTATTCATTCTTTCTTGTGGCATAAAAGTGCTAAATCACTGAAAAAACAAACCTTTATATTTCCTTTGTCTGACACCACTTTTAAGATGACTTTTATAACCATAAAATCAGATCCAAATTACATGTCAGTTTTGATCATTTCAAAGCACGGCAACTCGTTGGCCATCCATATGATAATTATCACTAAATTATTCAAAATTATATATATAGTCCCTAATCCCCCTAAGGGAGTTATTAGTATCCGCTTCTTTTACCATAACCGTATAAATAACTAAAATACCTGTAGTCAAGCCTTGTTGCACTACTGGACTCGCTGTTGCTGCCCGTTCATTCTCCTTTATTGAGTAAGGCTTAGCATACAGACTAAAGGCCTATAATTGGTGTAAATAGATGTAAACTTAATTTGTTACTTGGCTAACAATTTTTCATACTTCTGTGCAATTATTCTGGTGATTAATTACCAATAAGACTATCCTGAAAGGATATTTCAGCTGCATTTTTATGAAGTCACTTGTATGAATAAACTCAGAACAGAAAATCAATATATTTCATACATCACATCACATACAATTGACAAAATATTCCATTACCAAATTCAAGAAGAATATACATATGACTCAGATTAAAAAATAATCAGTCAGAAAACTAAAAATGTAAGAAACTAAACTTACATTTGTGGAGTTCAGCAGCAGAATTGAAAAATTCCCTTTGTTGATGGCCAGTGTGAATATTTCTGCTGCCACGTCCAGGTCGACTTCTGGTTTTTTCACTGGAACATCTCCAGTGATTGGGGCTTTGTCCAGCATGGTAAAATACACCAGGACCCCCTCTTTGGTATCATAATCCACCTACACAACAGTAAAGAAAGCATGCTGTAATAAGATTTTTTTTCTTTTTGACTATTGGCAGATTTTCGATTTTTTTTTTTTTTTTTTTGGAAACCCAAAAATATCATTATTGAGATTGATGCAGAGGTCCCCCTGGACCCCATGCCATATTTTCTGACTTATCACGAATTTGCAGCCTTATCCCTGAGTATGCAAGGAGAGACTGATATTCATGTTTGCATTAAATATCTGAAAAAATGTTGAAATTCTGCCAAATCTCACTCTTGCAATACACACAATATATTACAGCAATTTTTTGACAAAATACAATTTTAATTAAAATAATCTTACTGAGGCAAATGAAGAAAGAAGGCCACATAATGTACAAATTATTTTCAAATTGATATTCTCATCAGCAGAAAAATGCTTAAAAGTACATCTGCAGGATAACAATAACTGAATTTTTTTCATGTCAATATCAAGCCCTTTCTTTCATTAAACCATAATGATAATTAGAAGATACACATTCATGTCCTTTCTATGCTCACCACAATGTTAGTGACTCTAATACTTGATATCCCACACTGTCCTGCCACTCCTAGCATTACTGCATATTTGAACACCTTGATTCCAACTGCCTCTACCAAAGGTTTGCCTTCTCCTGTAATGGCATACAGACAATAAGTAAGTTACAGAAAGGAAGAAAGCCAGCAAATGTAATAAAATAATGAAAAGACATCAGCAACTGTGTCAGCTTTTGATATTATGTTACTTCTATTGGTAAAAAAAAAAAGCAATTTAAGATGGTATGTTTTAGAATTTTAAATTCTAATCTTTGTATTGTACACAACTTTCTGAGACCAGCATAGAGCACCTTTTTTAAAACATTTTATTATTTTCATCATTATTATTGCTTGACAGAGTTCTGTAAGTTATCTCATGTAAGACATAGAGAAACCCATTCACAAATTTTGATGTTCTCTGGCATACCTGGCAATTCGAACTGGAAATGCCTTCTTCTTGTTGAATAGCATTGACTTATATCAAACTCCATTAAAGAAGGTTCGTCTTCATTAAAGTTGATAATGTTATAAATGTAGTGAAGATTCAACTGAAGGAGGAAAAATTGATAGAATTAGGCATTTTGTTAGCAAAGTGTACACAAGTTTTAATTATTTCCATATAGAAAGCCTACAGATAATCAAATTATTTCATGTCCCAATTTTTCTATATATTCCAATGCTTAACAAACATAACCCTTACTTCAGGGAGCTTGATCTCTATCATGACAGGTTCTCCTCCCTCATCCAGACGCCCACTGTACTGGGTCCACTCCGGCTGGAAGCAGAAGGGACTTATTAAACAGACATTTATTTCATGATTTTAAAACAATTGCCTTTTTCTGACTGACCACCGCTATTCCAGCATCTTGTTTTCAATATATCTCAATTGAAGTAAACATCTTATACTTGATGCAGCGAAATCAAACTGCTCCACACAAAACCTATGTTCCATCATGCACCATGAAAAAATACAAGCATAGGAACATTTATTTCACAAATGTATAATATAAGCAACATGTGATGTACAAAAGGCAGAAATATTAAATCTCATACTGGACACTCACATAGATGTTCTGTAGAGACTCCAATGTTTTGTCCTTTATCACAAGAACATCTTCATGGAACTGTCACTACAGGTGACACTGCTGGTGGGTTTACATTTGTCCAGTATGAGATTTTTATTTCTGCCTTTTAACATCAGGATGAATTATAATTATTTACATTTTGAAATCCTGTGCTGTTGTTACAACTATTACGTAACCTTGCCTATCAATTCTATGTATGTTAATAGAATCCACTTAATATCTAAATATGAGGCATGTCTACAAAGAAGTTATTACTTGCCTCAGCCCTGTAATCTTTCAACACTAGGAGACATAAACATGAAACATTAAACAGCCTGTCTCTGTTAATGACTGATCTTGTACTATACTGGTAATACTCACACTTTGGAAGGACCACTCCCATATAGAGGTACAATCAGGACATATGGGAGGCCAGTTGGTGCGCTTGGCTGCATACACATCCACAACCATATTACGTACTTTACGCTGAAATTTATCACATCAGATTACGTAATGACTAAGAATCCACTTGGTTGAGTTAATTTAAAGGGATAACAACTCTTCATTTTGGGAGAAAAAGTGCCATAAAATAGATGATGCTCTCATACCTACCAGTGGTAAATGAATCCATTTGACATATAAAGTTAGTCAATTTGGAGGGTTTTTGTGTGTGTGTGTGTGTGTGTGTGTGTGTGTGTGTGTGTGTGTGTGTGTTTTTTTTTTTTTGTAATAATATCTGAAGAGATTATTCCAGAGGGTAGTCATCCTTGAAGGTCCACAGGGTCCGATGGCAAGCACAAATTTCAGAATAGCTGCTGCAGTAAGTGCAGTTTTGGTGGAAAAATGGAATTAACTATATTTCTATGTATTTATTGTGGAATTTAGAATCTCATATGAAGAGTTGTTATCCCTTAAATGTTTTGTACACTAGTCTGATGAATTTTTAGCTAGTACTAATTGAGTCTCTTTTTGATATTTGTCCACTATAATATGGAATGTATACATGCATGTACAGAAAGTTTGAAAAATGAAGAATGAAAATTAAAGAAAATGCTGCATGATGCACTTCTATTCTAAATTTATCAAAGTCCTATAAATCTATACATACATACATACATACATACGTACATACATACATACATACATACATACATACATACATACATACATACATACATACATACATACATACATACATACCAAAATTGTACATATACAAAATATCATTTTCAAATTGATAAATTTTTATCTTTGTTGGAGTTATTGTAGTTTTCAACACTTCATTTCTAAGTACCAGCAGTCTGGCTAAAAACTTTTGTCCTCTTACCTTTCCTTGGTAGTTATATGTTACGACATTTTTGTCATAGTCGAAGAACTCCAGTGCAGTCCTAAGCCTTACAGTAGATGCACTCGCATTCACAGAATCGAAAGATGTGGAGGAGATAGGACGAACGGAACAGTTCCCTTTGATGGTATCTGTGATGTACCGTACTCCTGAAATCATGAAATTCAATGTTTACATTGATCTTTATTATGTTTTTCACCGTTTTACAGTGACTCTCAAAATTCTCCCCAAAAAAGATTGAACAAGAATACTATATGTACTGTTGTGATGAATTAGTAGTTGATGTAGAAAAATGTAAAAATGCATAGTAGTTCGGATTGGAGATAATAGTTGCAAATCAAGTTACGTAAGAACATCTTTGTTAAAAACACTATGGTAGTTAAACTATTACGTCTCTCTCTCTCTCTCTCTCTTTTTCCCTTTTTATTTCTCTCCCTCTCCCTCTCTCTCTCTCTCTCTTCTCTCTCTGTAAAGGTGTGTGTGTGTGTGTGTGTGTGTGTGTGTGTGTGTGGGTGGGCAAACTATGTATAAAAATTACATTTACCAGTATTAAAGTCATGGACCTCTGATAGTGGATTGTTACCAAAGGGATTCCCATCACCAGGGAGAGCGCGGTAGTCGTAACGCACCAAACGGGCACCATAGTCATAAGCTTGCTGAAATGAAAACATTTTCACTTCTATCAAATCTAGAACTAAGTCTTATATTGCAATTTAGCAT